TGGAAAACTCTCCCATAAAATATAAATAAATTTATTCTCCGCATCAACCACAGCTAACAATACTATACTTTAGGTTCCCTTATAGATGTTCTAATGACTTCCAGAATGTTTTAGGCACTTCATTACAATATGTTTACCATTTATGGAACCTAAACAACGAGGAAGATTCCATCGACGATAGAAAGCTTCAGAATATTGAAAGCAGTCATTTTGTTGTAGTTGGAAGTTGACAAAATATTTCTAGTGTGCTTTTATAATATTATATTTTAAACTAAGAACAATCAACTATTCAAATAAATTAACGTTTCCAAATTAACAATTATGTTTAACCATAAATTATCTATATAAAAACATTACCTTTTAGGACGAAAATACAGAAGATGTAAGCGAATGTATAAACGACTCTTTGGACGGTACATGACATTGAAATGAAAATCCCTAAAATTAGATTTTAATAGCTGAAGCTGAAGAGCCAGATATGTAGAATAATTTTTTAGATACGCCATCTTAAGACATTACGACACTTAGCTAGGAAATTGATTGATTTGAAAGATATTTCGAATTCAAATTTATGGAATTTATCGCCTGGAAAGCAAAGAGAGACTCGACGCAGTATCCTTGTCTTTATACATATTTAGCTTAAAAAAGTAGAGACGCTTTTGAAGTGGATACGTGTCAGAGTCCTTTTGCACAATTAAGCTAATATTATTAGTCAAAACAAGTCACGAGTCACAAATTAGCAGTGGTAGTAAATTTTCCCGCGGAATAGTAGTAGAATCAGTAATAAATTAAATGAAATCACAACAAAGTAATTAAAAAAAGTCTCGTTCAAGTTTATGATGAAGCAGCTTTTCGACAAATTCACCTAAAATTATAAGAGGTAAGTCTATGTATAACCTATAACTTACCAATTAATTAATTATTAATAGACAAACTGTTAGTTGATAAATTACGATGCAAAAAACGGATCAGGTCATGCATTCGAAAGCGTTCGATTTCCTCCAATGAAATTTCTTTCCATCTTTTACCATTCTGAAATTATAACTAGGATGAATTACACAGGATACCTTGTACATGTGTTTAAATATCCATTGCATCTTACACTTCAAACCTGATAAGATATACAATTCCACGATTCCTAATATTTTCTTCACTTCTTCATAAGAGAATGTTACGCATCAGATGTTGTCAAACGTAACAGGAAACACATTGTACGTGACTAAACTACATTATGACTTCTTATTGGAAGCACGTACAAAGCGGAACACGCTAAATCTTTTTCATGTTTGCAAATACAGGGTGTGTTACATAAAAGTACGTGGAACGAGTTATGTGTGGAATTAAGTAAAAGATAGAGAAAGATTGTTAAGAGGAACGTTGAATATAGCAACGTTTATTTTTTTGCAATTTCACTTTCTTTATAAGAACAACGATACATCCAAAAAATGCAGATGCACTCTTTTTTAATGGAATCGCATATTTTTTTATTCGTATCAATTCTTTGGAACATACTGCGTGAAAAATTATTAGCGTCCTATGTTTAAAAAACCAGTACTTCGTGAAGTGTCTCTCGTTTTTGAAAAATCGTATATTTATGATATACTAATTTTTTACTAACCGCACATTTACAATAAACCTGGTAATTTGTACATACATTTTCGAATGTCTTTCAAATTTTATAACCACGACAGTCATGTTTCATTCCAATTAACGAAATTTCAAGAAATTCAAAGGAGTTCAACAGATTTCAAAAGATTTTTTAATAATGTTCATAATATATCCATAGAAAAAATTCTATGGTAAATGTTCGAATATTTTCATAAACCACTGTATGCCTGTGTGTCCAGTTTAAGAGAAACAGTACTGCAATAACAATCAACAAAGATATTTGTCAAATACATGTTTATATGATGAAGCTACAAATGAAAGAACACATCACAGATGCTCTATTTGTTTTCTTCCTGAGAATATATCGCTTGACAATCCATCACAACTAATCGAACATTTATAAATTGTAGGAGAATTAGAATGGTCATAATACATAGCATTGTTGCTCATATTTATTCGCTGTTGTTTGCAATATCGTTAGCAAATCAAAAGTGTGATTCGCTTTTTATTTTCAAAGACTTTGCTGTTTTTCACTGTTGACATCTCATTACGCCTTGATAATTATATTTCATATACATTTTGACTATTATTAATATTCACGATTTTTCATTATTTAACTTCTGTGTATCTTCACTGGATGTAATTGTTTGTTTAAGGAAAATGTATATGATATAACATAAAATTTAAGGAAAATGTATATGATATAATATGACATAAATAAATAAGAAAGAGTGGCGTCTCTCTCTGATGCTTGCGTTGGATGCCGCATTTTTAATCGGGACAGACACTGCTCTATATGTATGCAACTTATGCAAACTGAAATGATATCTTCGATGTTTGTGAAAAAACGATTTGAAAATAATTGTGATATCTCAAGCAAATTATTTGCTTTTTAACCCTTAACGCTCCGACTTTTAATTGTGAATATCGACCGGCAACTCCAACTTATTCTCATCATACTTTGTAATGCTTTTTGTTAACGCATTAGTAAGAAATAATTGAAAGTACTGAATAGGTTCACATAAATTGTGTACTTGTGGACCAGGAGTTTTTGTACCAGTCGAAAATTCAAATCGTTGTGGAATGATATCTTCGTTAAAAATTTCTTGTTAATCAGAAGATCTTACGTTACAAATACTCTTGGTTAAATTTTCTTCCTGTGGTTCTTCATCATCTGCACTTTCGTCATTCGATGAAAATTTTCTTATTTATCTTCTTCTTCCAAAATCAAGAATATCTCTATCACTGCTGTCATTATAACTGTTTTCCAAGTCAAGAGCTACATCATTCTAGATGCGAAAATCAAAATTGTCATCGTCGCTATCTATATTTTTTTTACAAAGATAATTCATTTTTCTCCTCGACGTAATTAAAATAAATGGGTTTACAATAAAACAGGTTCAGATCTGACTGTCTTTACTGATCGCTTGTAACTGACTGAGGAGTATTATTTTTTATTTAAAAACAATTATCGATAACGACCCAAAAATACATTTGGAATAGAGCGCCGCACATCGGTGGTGCTTGAGAGGCACACTTGGAGTGTTAAGTGTTAATGAAAAATTGTTCGCGTTCTAATTAAAAGTTTGATAAAATTCAAACACGTTTATGTATCTTTTACTATCTTCCACGTTTTGTTTTCATTTTATTCTCAAGATGCTGTCTCGATACTAAAAAGTAAAAACGATATTATTTTAGTTTAGACGAAGTTTAGTAGAAGAAAGAATAAAACAACACGTTCCATTTGAAAAAGAAAAATAATTACATATTTCGTTAATATTTTATCGCATCTTATAACATAAGAATATAAAAATTCGTTATTTTATTTCACCTTTGTCACCTAATTTATTGAGTAAAAAGCTTCAATAAACAAGTTTAATAGGTCTAGGCGGCTCTTCATGAAAAGAAGACTTTTACGTTTTTACTTTCAGTCTTTTAAGGGTAACAATAATTGAAAGTACTGAATAGGTTCACATAAATTGTGTACTTGTGGACCAGGAGTTTTTGTACCAGTCGAAAATTCAAATCGTTGTGGAATGATATCTTCGTTAAAAATTTCTTGTTAATCAGAAGATCTTACGTTACAAATACTCTTGGTTAAATTTTCTTCCTGTGGTTCTTCATCATCTGCACTTTCGTCATTCGATGAAAATTTTCTTATTTATCTTCTTCTTCCAAAATCAAGAATATCTCTATCACTGCTGTCATTATAACTGTTTTCCAAGTCAAGAGCTACATCATTCTAGATGCGAAAATCAAAATTGTCATCGTCGCTATCTATATTTTTTTTACAAAGATAATTCATTTTTCTCCTCGACGTAATTAAAATAAATGGGTTTACAATAAAACAGGTTCAGATCTGACTGTCTTTACTGATCGCTTGTAACTGACTGAGGAGTATTATTTTTTATTTAAAAACAATTATCGATAACGACCCAAAAATACATTTGGAATAGAGCGCCGCACATCGGTGGTGCTTGAGAGGCACACTTGGAGTGTTAAGTGTTAATGAAAAATTGTTCGCGTTCTAATTAAAAGTTTGATAAAATTCAAACACGTTTATGTATCTTTTACTATCTTCCACGTTTTGTTTTCATTTTATTCTCAAGATGCTGTCTCGATACTAAAAAGTAAAAACGATATTATTTTAGTTTAGACGAAGTTTAGTAGAAGAAAGAATAAAACAACACGTTCCATTTGAAAAAGAAAAATAATTACATATTTCGTTAATATTTTATCGCATCTTATAACATAAGAATATAAAAATTCGTTATTTTATTTCACCTTTGTCACCTAATTTATTGAGTAAAAAGCTTCAATAAACAAGTTTAATAGGTCTAGGCGGCTCTTCATGAAAAGAAGACTTTTACGTTTTTACTTTCAGTCTTTTAAGGGTAACATACAGGGTAGTTGGTAACTGGTGGTACAAGCGGAAAGGGGATGATTCTACGCGAAAAAAGAAGTCGAAAATATAGAATAAAAATTAAAAAAAAATTTTTTTTTCTTTTTTAATTTTTCCATCGAGACAACGATCTACAGTGAGATCGGTTATAACGAGACGTGATAAAGTGCACGCGTACCGAGCGAAAATTCAAAGTCGATTTTCTTGAAAACAAAGCCTCAAACGGAAAATTTTTATTCTATATTTTCGACTTCCTTTTTCGCGTAGAATCACCCCCTTTCCGCTTGTACCACCAGTTACCAACCACCCTGTATACTGGAATTTTAATTTATTTCATTGAAAGCAGTAGTATAAGATGTTTTATTAATAATACCTATTAAAAACTTTTACCATTGGAAAGATTAGACATAGTATCAATTACTTTAAATGAGAAGCTAGACGAATGAACCGTTGATAACTTCATAGACTTTTGAAATTAATAATTCTTTGCAAGTATAATTCTTTATTGGTACTGAGATATGGATATGTGTTGTAGCTTGAATTAGATTCTTACCGGTTTCCGCAGTACGCCCGGTATATTCTGTTCAAAATTAAAAGTTACCGAAATTTAAGACTAATCCTCGAGACTTGTCCATATGGTGTGATTTGAAGGAAGAATATCGTCTGACGTATACATTACTATGATGTGGGGATAGAAGAACCTGCTACGAAGAAGACAAAAATTACGGTTTGTCATCAACGGCGTTTGAAATCTTTGTATCATGGCTCTGTGTGATTTCTATTGAGCGAATAGCAATTGATTCGATCGCAAATAATCCTGTAAATCTCTCGTACGAAAATAAGCTACTTCCGAGTTACCAATTTCCGCTGGAATAAGTTTGAAGCGTTATCCGTAAAAGTAATTGCACTTGTATCGTTCGTTGTATCGTAAAACAATCGTGTTCGTTCTTTATTTATTTATTGTGCGGTATCTATTTCGTACACAATTGAATAAAATGTCTCTTTACCTTCCGTCGCATGAAATCGTCGTCGTCTTTTTCCTAACTCTAGATCATCCAGAATCCGGCAAGCGGTTAGATCCCTGGCTATCGTAATTTCGTTCGCGTTGGATTCTCCACCGGAAGGTGTAAACTATCAATATGAAAGACTCGTACAATTATTTAAATGGGTCATATATAGTCACGGAGATTAAATGAAAATATTTTAAAAACTTTTTTCGTTCTATTACGTAAAACTGATAGAACTTTTTATTTTTTTCGCCTATTATTTTCAAGCTTCGAGTATCTTTCGACATAAGAAACAAAAAGTTGTGCTTATTTATTTAACCAAAACACTATTGAGATACTAACGTCCTTCGCTCTATTTTTCAAAATTTACGGTATCTGTTCCTATATGCGTGTTCGTAAAGCACACAGTAACGTCGTCCGCAATTTTCCAGATTGTTATGTTTCGAATGTCGCAGTCCTATTCTCTTACAGTATAGAATAGGCACAAAAATTTCACACAACAACGTATATTACGATTGTACAGGGCATATGAAAAGTAAATGTAAAAACCATCATCACGTGATTCTACACCTCTGGATTGGTGGAAATTTTCAAAAAGTTCATATAAAATTAACTTTGAAGAGGCAAAAATTTTCTTATCCTTGTCTATTCTACTCATAATGTGGATAAAAAAATCTCTAAGGAACCATGGACAACTAAACTGTTCTCTTCGAACAAAATATTAAAGTTGGTTAAAGTTCCACTAGTTTTCGAACTTACATCGTTTGTAATGTGCTTACATTCTGCAGTTAGATGCAGGGAAAATAGCATTTGTTGTTGCACGTACAAATCCCAGATCTAGCATTATATACCCTTTATCTTCCTTTTTTTTTTCTCTTTCTGTCTATTTAAACAACCTCGAAATCGCATTTCTACATTTTCATCAAGTTTTTCTCCAAGATTATACAGGGTGGTTGGTAACTGGTGGTACAAGCGGAAAGGAGGTGATTCTACGCGAAAAAAAAAGTTGAAAATATAGAATAAACATTTTTTTTTAATTTTTTTAAAGATTTACAGTGAGATCCGTTATAACGAGACGTGATAAAGTGCATGCGTACCGAGCGAAAATTCAAAGTCGATTTTCTCGAAAACAAAGCCTCAAACGAAAAATTTTTATTGTATATTTTCGGCTTCTTTTTTCGCGTAGAATCACCCCCTTTCCGCTTGTACCACCAGTTACCAACTACCCTGTATATTGGCTTTGTATGATAAAAGCCACATTAAATCGGATGTGGTAATTGTTCAGCGGACATAAACTGTTTACTTGAACTATAAACAATTTCTTCTCCTAAAGAAAAATGCACTGCAAGTTGGCGAACCGAGTTGGCGGCAGACTACGGTGAGATGGAGTACCATCATGTATGAAATAGGTAGTATTACATGTCATCGGTGAAGACAAATAGATGAGATTAGTAATGTGATTCCCAATAATTATTCATTAAATCTTTCAACCATTTTATATGGATTTTTCTGAGCCCATCTTGGCATTTTGTTCATTAAGGACGATACTACTTAAGAAACTGTTCTCGTTTCTAAATAATACGCGTTTTGAAAAGCGCGGTACATGATGCAGCTTGTGCAGCATCCAACGGAAAAGCTTCCTCGAATGGAGTAGTCATGCGACTAGAGTGTTTGAAATTCCATATACACTCATCGTATTCGTCGGATTGTTATACGACTGATTCCCGCTTGACGAATTATTTTAGTTTTATTTTCTTTTATTTAAAGAATTATTTTAAGCCCAACAGTGAATAAACAGGACCAAAGCGATAATTAATCGGCTCTTCTTCGCGCCAATTCATGCGGGGTTGACCTGTTTTCGGATAACGCAATATTAATTCTTGATCACCGAATTGTTAACATAGTCGCTGAAAATCGCATTGTTACGGAGTGTCTTTTGCACGTAGAAATCTTCCATTATTCCTATATTCTGACATATTTCACGAGCTAATCTGTAATTTTCTGCTGTTTCGCAAATAGCGCACTACTCTCTCATTAAACGTGAATATATGTATATGTAAACACACGATGAGTAAATTATACTTAAGAATAATTAAAATTTTAACGGTTAAGTTGCGATTCTTAGATGATTCCTCAGAGACTTGTTATTCTCGCAATGAATAGAATACGGTGCAATAAAAGAAAGTTTAATTTTAAAAATCATGCTCAAGGTTAATTTTGCACGAATTCTTTTTTACAAATCTCCACCAATCCAGCAGTGCAGAATCAAGCAACAATGGTTTTCACACATACCGTTTATTACACACAGCCTGTCGCAAAAATATTCGATCAACGCAATAAATAAATTTGACTGTAGCATTCTGTATTTCAAATAAATATACAAAGAATACGAAAGATACAAAGGATACAAAGGTCTCTTATGCTGTGCTACAACATAGTTTCTAAGTGACTAAAATACAAAAAAATTTTATATTTTTTGTGTATGTAGATAATAAAAGAGAAACGAAAGAATAGCGAATTCTTGTGGTGAAACATGAACGAACACGATATAAAATTAAACGCATAAAACTAAAGTAATATTTTTTAATCTCTCTAATAAATGTTGTGGCATATTAAAAATAATTATTTTCAAATAATTAATATTGTTGCATTATAATTTTTCTATAGAATATTCTTTAATTCTTCCCATAAATTTTGAATAATTTCACAAACTTTTTTCCAAACATTTGGCACGTACGATTTACAGCTTCTAACAATCGTAAATTCAGATCCTCAAGGATTATTCTCACAAAATACTAGGTCGCTTTCACACTGTTTGAATCTTACTTGTTGGCTTATTGCCGTGAAAACGGTAATGAAAATTTGCCAGTCTGTCGTTGGCACTCAAATTCATTCTTATCTATACATATACTTTCGCCGTGGCAACTCAGCTATTATCGCTGAAGTACTGGCATTTAGATCATCTTTCTGTAATTAGTATCGATTAGATGAGCCCAATTTCTTCCGTTTTCTACCATCTTTCGTTGTTTTTTAATCAATTTCATATCCTTTCCCCTTTCCAGTGATGATGATGATGATGATGATGATGATGATGATGATGATGATGATGATGATGATAACACAGTCGAACCTTGGTAACTCCAATCTCAAGGGAAGCGCTATAATCTCCTAGTGTGGAGATTGTATCTCATTGAATTTTTTGGCTACACATCGAAAGCTTTTATTTGTTTATCATGCGCGTTACATAAAACATTTTGAAATTTTGGTAACACTGTAATAAGACGCGATTACCATGATTACATTGGCAAAATTTGGATCCAATTTAAAAAGATATACAGTCCAGCGTATAATAATAATGGTGTCATTGGATACTAACAAGGAAATGACGAGAATTGCGAGATCTTGAGTAAGTTGGCTGTATGTGCATTTGACGCTTTAAGTTGATGATAAAACAGTTTCAAAGGATTTGAGTACGTGGCCCTTTGTTTTTGAAAAATTAATCGAGATATTTTGTTCTTGATGCAGCAATTTCATTGGTTTTACACGCCTGTATTACAATTTCCGTCTGCAAAATTGTAAAAATATGCCGGAGTACTATAACAAATAAAAATAATCGAAAACTTATCAAAATAAATCGTAAAAATAAAAAAAAAACGTAATATTACGAGAATTTATAAAGTAGGATATAGACAAACTCATCAAGTTCTCCAGAACAAATCACTATACACTCAAATACTTACGGGGCTGTTTTACCTAAATTTAGATCAACCTAAAATGTCAAATACACATACAATAAACTCATTCGAGATTGCGCAGTCATTGTCATCTCTTGTAAGATCTATTAATATTATAAACAATTGCATGTTTAAATATTTTTGTAATCTCTGTAAAATATACAGGTAACTAGTGGTACAAGCGGAAAGGAGGTAATTCTACGCGAAAAAAGAAGTCGAAAATATAGAATAAAAATTTTTCGTTTGAGGCTTTGTTTTCGAGAAAATCGACTTTGAATTTTTGCTTGGTACGCGTGCGGTACGTTATAACGGATCTCCTGTAGATCGTTGTCTCGATGGAAAAATTAAAAAAAAAAAATTAAAACAAAAATTTTTATTCTATATTTTCGACTTCCTTTTTCGTGTAGAATCACCCCCTTTCCGCTTGTACCACTAGTTACCAACCACCCTGTATACTTGCACTAAATATCTTGTAGTTTGTGTACACATCTTCAGAATCGTTAAAAATTTTATCACTATAATCGTGGTAGTTGCGTGTCAGTAGCGCTGATGAAATTTTAAAATGTTTCGTATAATACACATAATATGTTCGTAAAAAGAATATAAATACTTTCGCGAGACACTGTATATATTCCACTAAATTTTATATACTCTATTACATCTCCAGTTTCTTCTTTAAATATATTCTATTAGATTACCCAAATGGGACTCACATTTTTAGATGAAATCCGAACCAGTAAAAGTGCGTTGAAATAAGCATAATATAGTTCAAATAAATCGAGTTACAGAAATGCATGTAATAATTAATTAGTCACCTTTTTTAAAATATTGATCTTACTTTGATGTTTCTTTAAACTTTAAAGTGTAAAACTGATTGTTAATTATTAATTTTCGTTTACCTTACTTTTTTACTAGCTGCTTTCTTACAATACGGCTCATAATTATACAAATAAACAATACGTGTAGGATCAAAATAGATTTATAAGTATTATTGATATACATTTTATCGATATACAACATATTTATATATAAATATTATTGTATAATTACCAAAAATATGTATCGTATATTATATATTAGTATACGTTAGTGCCTGGTGTATCTGCACAATTATTTATATACTGGTGATAATTTGTAATTATTACATCTTTGTTTTATATTCAAAAGTGTAAAACGTAAAGAATATTCGATATTAGAAACTAAAAAAAATAATCCTAAATTTGAAATGGATACAAATATTTACAAATAATGTATGTAAAACGAGAACATCGAAGTTAAATTTTGCAATAAAGATAACTTATTGTTAGTGTAAAGTTACATTTTGAATAATAGTACGTATATTCGAGCTAAAGGAAGTTGTTTATCGTAAAAATGATTTTGAAAACTAATTTACGACTTCTGTTACATTATGAAGCATTCACAAAAGACTAACACAATTGCGACCAACTTGTCCAATTGATTCTTTCTAGTTTATACTTTACACTTTACACAGTAGAATATATACTATAGATCATAACTGCACCTTTGTGCCTGTCATGTGCGTTAGCCCGATATCCAATACTGATTTACGTTAGAATGCTAGAGAGACTATTGTTTAACGGTATTGAAAATTCAAAAGAATAAAATAGCAATACACGTACATATCTCGGGGGAAATGAATGCCATTCAATTTTATTTTGTTTTAAACAATGTTATTACAATCGTACACCTTTACCTTGCTGAAAGTTACATAGTATATTCCTTATAGTTCCTACAAACAAAAAGATATTAATAATAAGTGAAAGAAAAGAAAAAAAAGGTCAAATTTCTACAGCGAATGGTATTCTTCTATTTTTCAACAATAAACACTGTTCTTGACGTACAATGTATTGTATGAAATTTTCTATAACACACAAGATACAGTAATAGTGGAAAATGAGTACACTTGAAAGCTATCGGTATTAGAGAACTCTTACACACATGTTGCATAAATTGAAAATTGATGGAAAAGATATAAAGTATGTAGGAAAACAAATTGATAATAAAAAGACGTTAGTAAATCTGTATGTAAGTCAATAGTATACGATCCCTTTGTTTGCAAAATGCATGCTCAGTTGACTCTCACTACACGTTCTGCGTTAGAAAGGATCCATAGCGCAGGAACTAAAACACATTTTTTCTACACTAATTCTACATAGAAATAACTGTCACGCAATACGTAAAATTCTCCTTATCATACCAAAGATAATGCGAAACTATGATTTCCGAGTGAATTCAAAAACTTAAACATTTGTTGATATGTCACGAATAAGACAATTAGTGAACAGGAAGCAAATCAGTTACATGCAAACATGTACTGATCGTGTTTGTTTGCCTTGTATATTTTGGACAGTGATACGCTTTTGCATCTCTAAAATTTACTCACATACATATTCGTACAGTGGCGTGAATAATTAGAAATTGAATCCTATTTTTTGATTTCTTCATAACATTAAAACAAAAATTGACAAAATCGTTTATATAATTTATGTAATACAATAATATAAAAAATCAAATAACATGATAATATAAAAAAAGGAGGATACGACAAACAAAAAATTGTCTTCTTTTAAAGTCTGGAGAAAATTAAAATTTTCTTTAAAATTGTGTTTCTAGCTATGAAAAAATAAATTCAATGGTAATTTTGTTACTTTTTCATTCAACATTTACTGAATTTTTCATTATATTTCATTACTTTTATTAACCTTTTTTATTAATCTGCACTATTCACTAACGTATAAAAGTTTTATTTTGAATATTCAACCACGCGGATTTTATTCCTTCTTCAAGTTCAGCGACATTTTATGCTGGTGGCCTTCTAGTGATCGTAAACTTTTCTCGATTCTCGATCGGATTCAGATCAGAACGTAATGCTGACCATAGTAAAATAATTCTATTCGAAAATGCTGGAACTACTTTTTCCTAGTGAAGACTGCATGAATAGCAGCATTGTCTTGTTGAAAAATTGTTCTTCTGTCTTCTATTTCACGTTATGATAGGCAATAATTCGCCGTCTCACATCTCTTGGTATCCTATAGCGTTCAATGTATCCTTTAGGAGAACAATTTCACTTAACATATCCACATACGATCAGCGGTTTCTAGCAAATATTGAACGAATAATGCAGAAAATGTGTATAAGCTTCTAATTATTCGTAGCACTGTACATGTGTATGATAGAGTCTCTTTAAGCAATTTTATAATCGTATTATAAGAATATCGCATTACGATACGGAACTCGTATAACGCGGAACGTATTTCCCGCGTTATAGGGCATCTAATATTGTACGTACATAGGATAAATTGCATGTAATATAATGAAACCAAATAATCTGACTTTTATTCAAGCGGCTTGCAACGCATCTCAACGAAGCTATTGGATTTTGGTTTATGATAAGCAGTAATAGTGAATTTACGCAGACCTCGCCGACCATGGAACACTTAATCAAACGAAAACCCATAAAGACGCAAAAATAAAAAAATTTTAAACGAGAATCAAAATGATTATCTCGAAATTTAATCTAAAAAATTATTACTTTCTAAGGTGATATTGCGATAAAATGTAATTATAAATGTAAATATAATTAAAAATGCACAATAACCGTGCAAAATGTAATATAAATGTACAAAAAACTACTGTATTCCTGCCATTAAAATGTCAAAATTCTGTTAAAGTAAATCTCGAAAATCTATTTTTTGAATCTTACTTAAACCGTTGCAAAATTTTCTTGCTTATTCACAAATAAGTAAAAAACATAAAACAGGCTAGTTAAGATAGATGTGACTTTAAGTTACAAACTCTTCTTGGTATAAAATTATTCCCACTTCCCCCTCAACAAACATGATCTCTTGTATGGAACCTTTCCATTATCATATCTTCACCGATAGACGCACTTACGAAAAATTTCATGACAATGTTTCTTTCGTTACAACAGATGTGTAACAGCATGATTCATATGCAAATATAACAAAACATCCTCGAAACTCGAAGATTAGAATATTCGAATATAGAGGTATCGCGAATATAAAGCTCATTCCCTAAGGAAATAAAAACTTTTTCAGCATCAGTGAAATACAAAACCGTCCTTACACGTTCTTTTCCCTAATGCGACTTTGTACCCTGAAGCTCAAACCCCGAATCGCTGATAAAAGCTGCGAAACTAAATGTTCTTCGCGTTGAATAAACTAGTTTCAAATTGATGTCTTGTAGTATTTATTAATAATTTAGTGGTATTCTTTTTTTATGAAAGATAAATAATGCGACGGCTAGAATTTTTAAGGCGAACCAATCTTTTTCATAAGCTATACAGATCAACCTATGATGTCAGTTGAGCTATAATTTATTATAATACGCGATTGCAAGCAATAGATTTAAAACGAAAATGTGCTTTTTATTATGTTCAACGAGAAAACTAAATATAGGAATTTACAATATCTATGGTGCATACAACACTAATTTTACACAAAATGTTTATAATAATATCTATGATGAAAAGAAAAAGAGAATGATACATCGAAGCTTGGTAATTAAACAATTTTTCAACAATTTCATTATTTCAATTTTATAATAATTTTAAATGAGTAATTTCAAATATTTATAGACACACGTGAGCCATTGTAATTTCATTGTCTAATTTTTTGTATTATTTCTATCCTTTAAAACAGGTGTTTGCTTGCAAGATTGATAAAAAGCTCAATCAAAAAAAAAGCGTTTTCAGAAGAATCCCTAAGCCTACATCTCATAAGTAAAGAAATAACAGCATTTTACGCAAACCCTGTAACAAATGTTTTAACCCGTTAATACGAATAAATATTTTCCAACGTTTCCGTCTGTCTACCCAAGATATCCTTTTCATTACAATTTCTATAATAGGAATTAGATTAGTAATACTAATAAAATAAAACGTTCGCTACTACGAATCTTTAAAAAATACTTCATGTCTAGCATTTAGACTTGAATTTATGTATCGAAACAGTCAGTCGATTCAATTTATTCTATAATACTTCGATGAAAACGTACAAATTCAGTGCGTAACTCTTACAACGATATTTAAAGAACATAAAAGTATCCAACTATAGATGGATATCAACAGACGAATGCGTTTCTTGCAAGTTGTATTCCTTCCCTATTAAGCTTTCCTTTCCCTCTTCTTTCAAAGGCTTCTTTCACTTTCGTCGATCGCATAGGTAATCATGCAGACGTGTATCAAGATACAAATTGTACGTTTGCATACAAACGAAGACATATAAAATGACATATAAAAATATTTTGTTTAGCTTTGTGTTACTCTTATTATTAGCTCAAAGTTACATCAAATTTGGAAATAAAGTTACATTTCAGATGCGATAGTTCTTCAAATAGTTTATTAGTATGGCAAAGCATTCTTATCGTGTGAGATACTGCATTTTAAAATTGCAGAAATGAAGCAAATACTTCTTTAAACTACGCGACAAATGACATTAAAAATGCGCCATATTAATGATGAGATGCAACTTTTGTAAAAACTTTTCGATTTTTTAAATAACAAGATGAGATTCTAGTTGTCAGGAGGGAAGCTCACAATATGATGAAATCCATCGATTTATTATCGAATGTAAATTAATTTGTTCTGTATATAAAAACAACCATTGTCACAAAATCCACAACTCTGTGATTTAATTGAACATAGTTTCTCTGCAATAAAAATAATTACACTTGCAACGATAGTGTAATATGTATGGCGAATATTTGATTTAAAAATATCAAAGTACGTATATCAAACGAAGAAATTCAAGATATTGGAGTATTCTCTTGTTTTCCTGGAAAAAGGCAAACGTGGACGTGTTACGAGACGTGGAGTTTGAATCGTCCCTTACCTTTATCAGATTCTGCCAGTTGTTAGATACCGCAACTTCTTCTTTTCTTGAATCAATCGATGTTACTTGCTGCCAAACATAACACGAAAGAACGCAAAACGACCGAGTCAGAAGAAAAGAAGGAACCAGGGAAACGAAGCGAAGCCGCGGAAGTTTTCCACGTGACTGATGGAACTAGGTGTACGTCGCCGACGAGGAAGCTAAACAGAATACCAACCAATGCGCAAGTCCTATCCTCTCCAATGATATAGATATCTACGCTACCTTACACTCGCCAAACACCTTCGTTCTGTGTTTGCTTCTTTCATTCGGTTTGAACTTTGAAACTGCATTACAAAAATACAAGAGGATAAGTGCACAATACGGTTGGACATTTTCTATTTGGAACGAAAATAACGAATAAAGAAGTCAAATAGTTAATATTTATTTAAAATAAAATAGCAAACGAATTTATTAGAGAGTAAAGTTCTTGCAAATAAACAAACTCCTACGTGAGAAATAAATTATTTCTAAAATAGATTCTCTCAGATAATATCAGAGGGTAAAGCGCAACAAATAATTATCTTTAACGCTTAAGAGAAATACCATTCAAAGGTATTCGGTCATTTGCTTATTTTTGACAAGACATTTCAGGTGCGAAACTAAAATTAAATTAACCTGCAATGATTTTCTTCGCCATAATCACCATAGCTATGTATAATAATATATTATAACCCGATTAAATTGATTTGTGCAAGTCACTATTATTAATAAAACTGGCGTTTGTAATTGTCATACTTTATACAACTATTTTATTTTTTGATAAAGTCTTTATCTTCTTTAGATTCTTTAACTTTTTAAATATAAAACAGTTATGTATTATACATGGTGAGGTATATAAAGTGCTACAAGCTACTGCAGATATCAATTTAAAATTTTTAAATGTTAAATAGTACAGGGGCTATCAATTTAGGATGTACGATATTGTGTGGTGAATTTTTGAGGGTGCTATCTGCATTTTTTAAGAATAGGATGGCATATTCATTTTTCTATATTCGGACAAACTGTTATCGAACTTAACAATTTTTACGTAAAACATCTTTTTTATTTTGCATAGTTAAAGAATTATAGCAGAAATTACTCTACGTAATGGGAGCTCCACGAAGATGCCAAAGATATGAAAAGAAATGTATTCTACTTTGAAAATAATTTTTGAAATAGGTCACCTGATTTAACACCACTTAATTTTTTATGGGGTTACGTAAAGAAAAAGGTGATGGCAACGTCATCAACTACGAAGGGGACTATGAAAAGAAAGATTCACACCGTCTATAAATCCGTAACTCCAACAATGTCATCATGTTCGTACATTATCACAAGAATAAATGCATATTCGGAAGATAATGGACAACTCTTTGATGACATAAATTTCAAAGTAAAATATACTTGTTTTGATATCTTTCGACATCTTCACGGAGACCCCTTGTGTAAATTATTTTCTCCTATAACTCCTTAACTATGCAAAATAAAAAAAATACCGAAATAAAAATTGTAAAAATTGTTAGCTTTGCTTTTGGTGACAAATATAGCACAAACAAGTCGTTTTGCGTTACAATACACGCGTAATTTTGTAAAATAATATTGTAAATATTGTATAATATTGTAAAACAATAATGAAGTATTCAAACTATCGTATCTCTGGCGATACTGAAGATATACAGGGTAGTTGGTAACTGGTGGTACAAGCGGAAAGGGGGTGATTCTACGAGAAAAAAGAAGCCGAAAATATAGAATAAAAATTTTTCGTTTGAGGCTTTGTTTTCGAGAAAATCGACTTTGAATTTTCGCTCGGTACGCATGCACTTTATCATGTCTCGTTATAACGGATCTCACTGTAGATTTTTAAAAACATCAAAAAAAAATTTTTTATTCTATATTTTCGACTTCTTTTTTCGCGTAGAATCACCCCCTTTCCTCTTGTACCACCAGTTACCAACCATTCTGTATAGATAATTAAAAGCGCGTTAAGCTCCGCTTCTAGTGACAAATGCAGCGTATATAGGTCGTCTCCTCTCAGAACTACACTGGATCTCGTGTGTTACAATGCGCAATTTTGTAAAAAATGATTTAAATACTCGAATTAACGTATCTCCATTGCTACTACAGATATGAAGACAATTAAGGGCGAACATCTGTCCAAATATCGAATAAATGATACGCCTGCTACCAGTAAACTAATATATATTAATATTAATATCATTCTGAAAAAATAGGGGTGTCACCGTTTCCGCCCCTAAGAAACTCGCGCACAAAAAAATAGGGGTGTCACCGTTTCTGCCCCTAAGAAACTCGCGCACACAATATCTTACACCCTAAAATGTTAGCCCCTCTTTACCATTTTGCCCATTATATTTACCATTATTTACCATTTAACACACCATTTTACAGCTGAAAATTTCAGTGTTGATATCAGCAGTGGCTTTGCAGGAGACAGCTTGTAATATTTTATCAGTCACGCCCTGTGCATGCTGGAAATATGTATACATAAAATATATGTCGGAGATGAAAGGACATCAGGGCCTTTCTTTTGGAATTTTTGGGAAGATCCCCAATACTTTAGTCTAGACTATTTATTATAGCTGTACTTAAATAATAAAACTTAGAGGTAGTTGTTATGATTCAATCCGATTATGTTTGCCCGAGATTTGTGACAGTGGGCTTGAGTTCGAGGTGACATAACTGATCGCCGAACATTGCCACGGTCACGAGATGAACGTTTTTACTTAACAGAGAAGTGCCAATATTGTGGGACACACGTTGTGGTAACAATCAAACCCCGGTCAGGAGCAATGGCAGTTCTACGCGGGTCTGCCTAGTAACGGCGGCTGGAATTTTGTTGGTATCCCCGGCCAATATGCAACGAACAAACGCGATCGTAAATAGAGGAAAATTTCCATCAGTCTTTTACTCTTGCGATCACCTTGGAAAGTTTTCACATCGTCTTTACGTGCAGTACGATACCGAGCGTCGCAGTAAACGTTACTTTGTGCTTCAGAATATATTCTACGTTTAACAAAGAGTTACCCCGTCGATTCGTTATTGAACCTAAGAACATTGTCTTTAACATCTTGAGTGCCTAATCACCACGGTTATTTGACAAACTTTGTAAAAATCAATATTTATACCAGTAAATATAATCTCCATTGTACAACAACGATGGCTAGTTCGAATGAAGATTTGTTACACGCCCCTAAATCTAACGCTAACCCGACATATATATACTGAAAGTCGTGCAAGACTGCATTTTTGGCATTTGTATCCGTTTGTAGTTTATAACGGCGTTAACAGATTTTGATGAAATCTTCAGCGTTTACATAACTGGCATAAATCTTTAAATATGTTGTTTAAATTTCCACTACCAGCGTAGATAAAAAAGTTGTAAAACATGACCTTTGCTTTTCTCTTCGCTATTTCGAACCGACCGGTACAAATCGAACAAAAAGCAAAAAGCTGTGGCTGAGGGCACTATTGATGAATTTGTCCATGATAATCCTCCTCTAAGTGACGATGTATTGAAAGTTATAAAGCCAATCTATGAAAGTTTGTCTGCAAATAGCTTATTAGAACGATGTTTGGGTTCTGAAACTCAGAATAATAACGAATCGTTAAATTCCTTGATATGGACTTTTGCTCCGAAACACATTCATACAGGAACGCGGACCATTAAAATTGCTACTTTTCTCGCTGTTAGTATTTTTAATGAAGGTTTTATACCCATTTTAAAAATACTGAACGTTATGGGAATGACGATTGGTCGAGAAGCCCATGCGTTCGCTGTGGAACGGGATGAAACTCGGATCGAACGCTCTGAAATCCGACTTCGGATGCTTCAAAGGAAGCCAGGACTGCTCATTTTTACGAAAAAACTTCAGAGAATAAACATTTTGAAGTGGAGGAAGGTCCGTTGTATGGGGCAGGAATCGCCGATTGGAAATATCGAAGTATATCGTACCATTATATGAGTAAAACTGCGTGAAACTTTATTCAAAACTTTAAAAGCGTTTTTCTTGAAACTACTTTTTTCAAGCTGGCGTGCATGATATCTCAAGTTCTACTGAACCGATTTATTTGAAACTTTGTGTGAACCTTCTCTATACATCCTTCTGTCGCTTACTAGATTAAAGTCAAAAATTTCAATTTTTAACTATTTTTATAAAATTTGGAACTGTTAAAAAAATACGTAAAAAATATTTTTTCTTCAAACAGCCATCATTTTGTAAAAAAAAATTTTTTTTACTTCTTCGATGTAGACGCGACAACGACATCTTTACTGATTAAGAATCCGTTGGATTTTTTTCTTTCAGATGACCAGAAAGGTTGGAACTATGCACGCCAGGACATCCCTTTTCTTGGACCCCCCCCTCCCCACCACCACTTTAACAACCGATAACTTTTCGAGTTTTGAATTTTTTTATTCTTTTATCTATTCTTAAAATATAAATAAACGAATAATAATCATAATATTATATTAATTAACGAATAATAAAAAAATGGATAGTAAAAATATTCTTTGTTTTTTTACAAAGCTCGAAAAAAGGCTTTTGGAATAGAATACCCTCTTAATTGCAATTCTTTCAAAAAATTTTTTTCGCATCATCTAATAAACAAATCCAAGTAACTTCCTAAAAAGACTCAAGTCGTTTGGTTCAATAGTAAAAAAGTTATTCTCCTTGTAAAGCGCAAAAATACCTTCTTCACCCGCTGCATGTATATAGATATATAACTATATAGCTAATAATAATAATGTATTTTTCCTATCACTATAACGTTTAAGGAAACATATCTCGAAGCTTGTTTTTGAAACAATTTCACCGAAATTGTACGTGTCAAATAAGATGACAAATATTAAGGGACTGTGCAACTATGTCGGCTTCAAAATGTCGAAATTCTTTCTTTCTGCATCTTTTTAAAGTTCGATATGTATAGAATACTATGGTAGAAGGGTATTTTGAAATTTTTAAGAATGGCGAAGTTATAATACTGAAGACTACAGCATTCTTTTATTTTAGCGAAAACTTCGCTTTAAACTTTAAACGCGTTTCTTCGAAACTGCTTTTCGATGTTGCACCCGGCAGATCCCCAAACTTTTCATCCGATTAACTTGATATTTTTACACGTTATTCTGCGTAACATTATCTGCAATGTAGCGTACAATTTTTTTGATATCTTAGTCAGTTGAATTTTTATAAACGTTCAAATTTGATTTTTTTCAGCCAAAAAATAAAATGTTCTTAACAAGCCGCGACTTTCTGACTTTTCAAAATTATAAAAAAATCATACGCTACATTGGAGACAATCTATTTTTGTACATGTTCGCACAAAATTTGTTTACTTTCTCCAGTCATATTTGCCGCTGGGTGTACGCAAACAAGGTTCCGCTGGATATGAAGTCAGATAATGTTGTGCCATTGTGCCATTTTGTAATTTTGCGTAATGAAAAAAATATAAACATAGAGTTAAGCGTCGCTTAAAGATTCCTATAAAAATCTTGGTCCTTTACCAAATACTTGAATGCGAAAAAAATGTTAGATTTGCCCTACCTTCTTTAAGCTTCCAAGATTGTATATCCCTTTACTAAAATTTATTTTTTAAATATGTTATTATTTAAATAATGTTATTTAAAATAAAGTAACATGGCAAATAGCAAATAAACTAAAACTTATTATTCTATTAAGATACAAAAGATGCTTCAAATTAATAAATATTATACACTGCTAAAACCCACTACACTTTTAAAGGGTTAAAAAGACGTCCTGTAATTTAAGAAAATACCATAATATTAATACTATAGCACTAAAATACTAGCCTATAAAATACTTTTATCTTAACAGGAGGACCTGTATACTTACACAGGAATTTTTAGGAATATGCCTTTTTGGCAAAAAATTTTGTTATGAAAATGTCTTGAAAATATATTTTCAGCGAATCGAAAAATCTCTATGTACTTCAGTAGTTTTTGTCATGTAGGAAATGAAAATTTTTGGTAGTTTGTTCATACAGAGAGTTCGGAAATACATGGAAAACCGATTTACAGTTCAATTTCAGGAAACTCATTGCGCAGCTACTTGGACATCGTTATTCTGTTGAAAATAAATAAAAAAAGGTACCTTTTTCTATATGTCAATATTTATATAATAAATCTTATAAAAATATTTTCTATTGGATTATTTAAAAGAAAAAAGTTGCTAGAAAAGTTTACTGATTTTCATACGTTCAAAATGCTAAGCGTCCTTAATATAGATTTCTTAAAGTTGTATTATATAACTAAAAAACGATGTACTGGAATTCGATATCGATTTATATTCACTTTGGTACACAATCTGCGATCTCATATTATAATTGTTGATAAAATTCCAACGGTATTATATTCTGGTAACTTCAAAGCCTTTTTTACTTCTAACAAATAAAAACCTAACGGCAACAATACGAAAAGAACAAAGTTACAAATCCATTTTCGTCAATTTTTGTGGTTTTTCTGTCAGTTGGTAGTTTACAAAGAAGTATTTTAATATGAATGTATCCAGTTGGAGAGGGAGTAATCTGATATCACCCACAAGCGGATACGTCAATGCGTCAATGCGGATGTCACGTAAAGTTGGTACTTGGGTGGTAGTAAGAAGGCTGAGTCGTAACCCAACTACTAATTTTCCTTTATAAAACTTCATTGTAAATGTTAACACTTACAAAGTAACACCGAACCGGAGAATAGGGGTTGTATGAGTACAGCAACTAGAAGAGGATCAAGAAGAACTGCCCGAGCTGGGTGAAGTCTCGGTTTATATACGTTTTGGTTTTAGTATGTTGAGGGGCTAGGTGTACCCGATGATGTGTCGGAGATCAGGGGTCGAAGCCTTTATCTATGATGTGGACTAAGGTGTGTCATAGCTCCTGTATAGGCTATGATGATAAGGTGGTGATGTGTCCAAAGGAGTCCAAAGCTCGGGATCGCTATCTCATGGTTGAGATAAGATTGATGTCACACGGACATTGGCAGATACAGGCAAAACGAAAGAATAATTCGTATAATAGGTTTTTAAAATAAATATATGGGAAAAAAATAGAGAACTATTGGAAGTTGACGTATTGGAAAAGTGTGATCTTTAATCTGAAATTCAAATTAGCTTTAAAAGTAAGGGATATGTATTACGAAAACTCATGGTGCATTAAAAATTATATATAAAATTTACTAAATTTCTTGCTCGAAATATTTCCCTAACTAATAATTTAGAACTGTATTGCTAACATAAAACTGTGCATGTACTGTTTGGAAAATAATGATCGTAATCGTTAGTAGCTGACTACTAAAACCTAAAAATCGACCACTTGATCCTTTTTCTTCTTAACCACTTATTTCCACTCGTTTGAGTAGAAAATTAGTTGGGTCGAACTATGTAATGAAATATCTATTTTATCAGCTATTAATTTATTTATTTATCTGTTACATATGTATCAAAAGGATTAAAATGATAAGTATAGGAAATTATTAGAAAAGAATTGTATTGACATAACCAAATATTTTGTTTCGAATTTCAAAAATTATATGTCCGTTTATTAAATAAATCAATAATGAAATAAATAAGAAATAAAAGTGAACTTGCAAAAAAGCCAGTTTCTCTTCGATTTCAATGATTTTGAAATATATCGCTAAGCTCTACATTTTAAATAATCATTTCCTGCGCACATAAACGGCAGGCAACTTTAGTTGCCGAGATACTGGTGGAAGACTGCTAGACATTAAAGCCTGCTCATGTATGTGTATCCGTGACAGACTCACAAGCATAGCCAACACGTTCGTCGCTTCGTTCGCAGCTTGGCGATCTGTTATCATCCATCAACCATCGATCTCCTTATCTAAATATTATACTTTTCGAATCTAAATAAACAGCTTCTACGAAAATCTTGTTCACAACTGCACATGCAAGTGTTCCGACTTGTGCTGCAATACAAAGTAAATAGTATATGAATAATATACATTTTATGTTTTTATATATTTGTTACTATCGCTACTAACAGTCTCGTGTGTGCATAATTGCGACAACATTTGTCATTATTCATTATTAAATTTCTAATTATTTTTACAATTAATCTGTTACTATTTCACACAAGCGTTGGCCGAATTGACAAAGGTAACTCAAACCCAAATCCAAAACATTAATGATATTTATTTTTCATTGGCTGATAACAAATATCTTTTACAGACTGTAATGAACTGAGTCTTCGTCACAGGGATCGGCGGTATATGGTACTCAAGCTCGCTCAACTCTCATTTATACATATACAGGGTGGTTAGTAACTGATGGTACAAGCAGAAAGGGAGAAGGAAGTCGAAAATATAGAATAAACATTTTTTTTTAATTTTTTTTTTTTTAACTTTTCCATCGAGACAACGATCTACAGTGAGATCCGTAATAACGAGACGTGATAAGGTGCACGCGTGCAAAGCGAAAATTCAAAGTCGATTTTCTCGAAAACAAAGCCTCAAACGAAAAATTTTTATTCTATATTTTCGACTTCTTTTTTCGGGTAGAATCACCCCCTTTCCGCTTGTACCACCAGTTACCAACCACCCTGTATACTATAAACAAGAGATAAGAATTAGGTTCGGATTACCTTTTATTTTGTGCAGCCAGTAATTAATACTTATGTATACGGTACTAGGGACGCACAATTATCGACAGAATTCACTGTTATGGTACCGATAATTTTTTGCCAATATCTCGAAAACTGAGAGTCCGGTGGTTACATGCATAGGAAAAAGTTGTTCAGAATCATATCCGCAACAAAATATTAAAAAATCATGGAAATCAGTGAGGAGGGCAAACTTCTTACCATAATTACTGTTGGTTGACGGAGGACACAGAAACGATCGTGATGCTGCGATGTATCAGATAAATCATTATAGAGTTTATTGAAAAATCGAGAAATGAATTAACACATAGCGTAAGATTTAGTACACACATGTATAGTTAATTGTAATATTAGATTTTAAGTAAATTGCAGGCGAAAACTTAATAAAGCATAAAATTAATTTTAGACAATAAAATATCTTCTTAATTTTCAAAAACGTTTTAGTTGGAAAATTTTGCAGTAAAATTTGACTTGTAGTATTCTAATAGCAAAAAGAAGGTTTTGCATTTAAGAAATTACTGTTTAACAAGCTTATATTTTAATTCATAGAATCGAGTGAAAAATGAGCAGTTGTTGCAATTGGGAGATCAAAATAAAAATTGGAGCATTAAAATTGGAGTTTTAAACACTTATACCATAATACGATTGAATATAGTACAAGGTACGTACATGTTGCGGAAGTATAGAATTCTATACTTCATTTGCTAGATGTCCTATTCTGTAATTTATTTGTAATTCTATAGGAAAATTTAGTTTAGTCAATTCAAACCACTACTATGCTAAATCAATAACGTCGCATGTGATACAAAAATGGTATCGGAGGTCGGATGGCCTCGAAAACGTGGGACACGAAAAAGCATCGAATGTCACGTTTATCCTATCAGAGCAACTATGGTCGAGTCGACTATAATCGGTCGACTAGACCTGTTCGAGACGTGATACTGATATCAGTGGGTCGTTCAATCACGTCCATTTAGTAGATTGGCGACTCGTGCAGGTACCCGTGATACCTAGCACTGTTTGCTATTGTAAGCGGCGCGTAAAGTGGTCTCCTACTCCAATTGGTTTTGGGTTTATACGAACACGCTAAAATGCAATTAACTAAATAATGGAATTTTTATATGGAACGTTCTTTTTATCAGACTTGATCTTAAAAGATATTTAATAAAATACAAATTTATTACAGCTTTGCTACACGCGAGAAATACTTGAGCTACAAATGAGATTTCTTTAATTTTTTTGCTCATTATTAGATAATAAGGTAAAATCAATGACAATTCCATTTTTACGCTACTTTTTTATTGCGCAAAAAATTGCAATAGTTTTGCACGATCTTCATAACATGTTTACGAAACGTTCTCCGTTTTGTCTGAGACAATAATACCATCTGTTTTCCAATTGAAAAATCTTTTGTTCGGATTTAGAAAGTCGAAAACATTTGCTTTCCTGTGATTTCGCACACATATACACTGACTCGCGAAAATATTCAAGCACTCGTAAAAACAGATCTGAAGTTTTTTGGAAAGTTTAAAGAGTTACTTTGCTAGATGATGCGTAAAAATTTTTTTTTAAATTGCTGTTTGAGCATACAGTGGAAATTTATTTAGTTATTTTTGAAGGCGATATTATACTTCGGATTGATTTTCCTAATAAGTTGCTATGGAAAGACAACTGTGCATTATTTCTCAATGTCGCCTTCAAAAAATGACTCAACACCTTTGTAAACCAAAATCCACACATACAATGTTATGATATCAAAAATATATTGTGCTACTTAAAAAAGTCAAGATGACCTTGGCTTTTTATCAAAAGAAACAATTTGTTGCCAATTTTAAATATCGCAATTTACAGCCGACTCAAAGCTGACTAATTTGTGTTAGAAATATTTTTTTCTTACATTATTGGAAGTGCTTCAAAAATGATGTACACCATTTCACAGAACATCGTGTATACGGTTTGTCCCGCGGCGTGGTCAAATAATCCTGACATTTCACGTCTATTTTTATTGGTATTTTTATTGGTATGGAGGGTTGTTGCAAGATACCAATAAACTCGAACAAGTTCAGTAGGTACGGTTGGTTAGTAGCGATTGATGGGCAAACCTAAAAAGTTGGGTTCATTAGTCGACCAAACACAACTACATTTTCACTAACTTATACTGTTGAAATGCATTGCTTTTACTTTGACATCTAGTTTTGCATACCACGGTCAGTTTCACATAGTTATTTTCTTCATTCCACGTTCACACCGCCTTTGTCGTCATTCTTTCTCTTTCCTTGAAAAGTAAAGCAGCCAGCACGTACACAGACTGAAATACCAAGATAATCTTGAGGTTATAATAAACTCGTTTGTCGCTAAACCGCAACGAAACTAATCTTCATCTGCATATGGATGCATATGGTTAAGGGCCCAATTACTTTATGACTTGACTTTGTTGGAGCGGAAAACTCTGATGAAAAACCGAGGTTATAACCGACTCGTGCAATAGCGTAAAGGTAACTTCAAAATGCAACGGAGACCGAGTTTTCGGTTATTACCGAACTTAGCGGCGTGGATAACTGGGGTGTTTTTAAGTTCCAAATCCGTATGATCTTAAATGCTCAGAAAGCTTGAGAAGTCGCGAGCGAGAGACAAGAAAACCGGAACGAGCCAGTGGATAGCGCGGTCGGGACGGTGCGTAGACAGCAGGAAAGAAATGTGGTCACGTGGCAAAAGGCAGATACCTTTCGCGGTGGTGTACAGCGCAAAAGTTTATCGCGACTACAGTCGCAAGGCAATTGATTCTCTACATAATTAGTTGCAACACGATAAAGGCAACGTAGGACAGATTGTCGGCTATCTACGAATAAAAAACTGATTTCGCGATACACTTGCACAAATGGCACGCCACGGAGGAACAAGAGTCCAGTGACGTGACGACCCGCATAGCGAAAATCAAAGATGTGGTACACACGTTGAACCTGCTACATGAGAAAATGCTGGATTATATCGGCGATAACGAAGATCATTACGTTACGTAATACTGCGTGTCAGCTACCGCCACTTCAGAAGCGTCTGGAAGTCGTCCCCGAAGAAAGCAAGACAATATCCGATCTAACCTCGCGGCTTATCATGGAAGAAGCAAGAATTCTAAAGAATTTCAGAAACTGAGTTTCTGGAAGGCCTTAACGAGGGAAAAATAAACAAGGTAAGTGTTATAAATGTCATGAGTACCATCATTGGGTTAAACAACATCCGAAACGAAGAAAAAAATGTAGCGGGAGACCCCAAGGTGAAAGGTATATTAGCGAGGCTCTTGCATCCATTAAGGCCGCCGAGACAGACAGCAGAACGTGGTTCTTGGATTCGGGCGTGAATGATCACATGTTTAGTCCAGGGAAGTGGTTCGTCACGCACCAGAAGTCTAACAAGCCAAGGTACATTCGCATTGGAGATAGAAGCTCTCTGGAAATGCGTGGTTAAGGCTGCATAAACGTGAGATTGTTCAACGGTTCGGCATGAAAAGTAGATGGTAGATGTGTCAGCATTTGGTAGATGTGTTGAAATGAAATCGCCCAGTGATGAATGCAGTTTCACCAAGGGTGACCGTATTGTGGTAGAGACAGAGCGTCGAGCCGGGGTATGTTGTGCAGTTTGAAGATTGCAAAGATTCCCCATCGACTTGCCAACGAAGACCAGATAGGTATTAGCCAGTAATTTTAAAGGCTAGCACAAGAAGATGGCTCACTACAATTGTAGATACGTGAGGCAAATAAATGCACCATCGGAAAGATGCACCGACTCTCACTGCAGCACCACAGAGCTAGAGCGCACCGGAGAGCTGATCCATGCTGACTTTTCTGGATCAATTCAAGCCAAATCGTACATACGAGGGCGGCTTAAACTTTGCAAACTGAAGCGGAGTCTTTAGGATTCAAGCAATTCGCACCGCGTTGGAACTTTCCGAACTTTAAAAAGTTCAAGCTAAAGTCCACGAGCGTAGACTCGTACGTTTTCGTGAGTGGCACGCACAGGGACAGGCTAGACCATGTACATCAACGATGACTTGTTGGCCTCAATAGGTAAGGAGTCAATTCAGCATCTACTGCGAGATTTGCACAAAGAATTCGAGGTAGCCGATAATAAGGCAGAACTGTTCCTAGTATTGCAGATTCTACGCGAGAAGGGCGGATCCATCGCCTTGTATCAGACAGATGTTCCGTACCAAAAGTGCGAATCCAGTGGCAATACTTGCTGACCGTCACAAGGACGTGGGGAGCCATCTCTCGGTAGTCACGAGCGCGGTAAAGCTTCTCAGCCGCTACCTGCAAAACTCTTAAAAGATTCACTGGGCTGTGGTGAAACGGATCCTCAGGTACCTCGAAGATGTGGTAAACTACGGCCTGCGACACTCAGTAATGGCTGGTATGGGCACTTGACGAGTTATATAACCAAGTTTGGATTCAGGTTGGTATTCTGAAGTCCGCAGAGACGCCAAACCACCGCGCTCTCCACCACCGCCGTGGGATACGTAACTGCGTGCCAGACCACGAAAGAGGTCATGTGGTTCAGGAGGCTGCTAAACGAGCACCTGGGCCCCGCTGAGATTCTGGAAACTCTGTATATGGGTAATGAGAGTACAATTAAATTGATCAAGCACTCCTTGTGCCATAGAAGAACCAAGCACATGAAAGTCCTCTATCAATACACGAGACAAGCATACGAGAAGGGGGTCTTTAAACTGCAGTATATACCCTCAAACAACCTCAACAGCGGACACACTTACCAAATACTTGGAGCACACGATCTTTCAAAAGCACAGACAGACTCTGGGAATCATCCATTTACAGCGTAAAACAGAAGTGAAAGTGTTGAAATTTACTTTAACATCTAGTTGTATTCGCTCGCTAGGTAGTTAGTTAATTAGTTAGCGTTTGTCGAGATTCCTTCCTTTTCTTGAGAAGCAGACCAGCGAGCACGCATGTAAGTTATAATAAATCATTTGTTTTGTCGCAAATCCATTTTTTCGCCAGTCGACCGCCCGTCAACTCCTTTGTAGCTGCCCTCAGAGTTGAATAGGAATGCTTATGTACAAAATTCAGCCAAAAAATGAACACTGAGAATAAGGGCCTCCGATGATCAACGGCTGCACTATCCGTCGAAGAGCTCTTAAAGGGAGAAACGATTGAATACACGGTGAGAGAAGAAATGCGTGATAGTGCGAACCTGGCTCGTACCGATGAACTGTGGAGGAGAAGTGTGCGCACGGCATGGATCATTGTCAGAGTAAACAACATATACTGCCAGCCATAAGTATGAGGGACGCTCATTCATATTTAGTATTGTAATTTAGTATCATATTTAGTATTCTTCGCTGCTTTCATTTCCTAGTTATTTTATTACGAATCTATTACTATTATTCTATTTTTATCATATATGTTTTGTAAAGAATCACGGTAAATAAATTGTTAGATAAATTGTTAATAAATATGACAAATGTATATAGTAATAACTATATCCAGCAGTATAGATAATGTTTTTATTTATTTTTTTATAATGTAATGTTAAGAATAAGAAACGCACAAATTTGTACTTTTAGAATTTTTTGGCACTAAGATGCGGACCGCAATTTTTGCCGTGTTTCTTTCGTCCTGGCCGATTAGCTCGTCGCGTCTGTTTTTCTAACACCTAAAAGTGGACAGCCTTGTTCGACACTGTTGGCGCCGGCGCTCCGGCCAGATCGGTAAACTTCGAGCTGTCATAGTTCACGTCGACTTATCAGAGCGAGAAATGGCGGGTCGTAATTGTTCATGCTTCCATGCTCGCCGTTGATTTTTTGTCTTTTGACCGCCCAAACGGTTTAGATCTCTGCTTCTTCTAAAAAAATCGGAAAGAACCAATGGGAGAAGAGCACGCCGAGATATAAATCTTGTTGATGTAAGTAAAAGTAAGTGTGAGTAAGTAAGAGTAAGTAAGCACAGTAGCTTCCGCCTACTCACTGTCAATCTCACTCGTAATTAGCACAGTGAGCCGCGCTACTCATACCACGTTCCACGCTCGGTTCGGGTACACTCACTGTTGCGATTTAACCTGCGTCAAATACGTGCTCGTGCTTCACCAGTCTTCAAAGCCGCGTTCCGCTTACCTAATTATTTAATTTCTAAGACTAAACTAAGTTGAGAGTGTATGGTCTCATTTGTTAAGTTTTTGTTTGAACAAAATTTTAAATGCTAAATACTTTTCTTGGCGTATCGTCGGTGTCCCAGCAATGTAACATGTAACAATTCTTGACGACAGAGACAATTAAAAAAAGGAACACGGTTTTGTCTGATCCGAACAAGACTAGTTCGAATTTTAGTAGAGATTCCATTTTTCTATCTCTAATCTAAATTACTTTAATTTATTAGTTACATAAACATTAATGTGACCTCTCAGCGAAAGAACTTATCGCATTTCCTTTAATCGAAAAACAATTGCACAAAATATAAATAATTCTACCATTGATACGCAGTTTGTCGGTATCGACAGCGATGCTGGTTGTGCGCTTTCTATGAGATGTTTTACCCAATTACTATATCATAATGCTGGTTCGTTATATCGGGGACGCGCGTCTGTTCCTCCTCGTCTAAATCTTCTAGCTCGTTTTGGATGGCATAGAAACGAATTCCAAGCGTCATTCAACTGGTAGAATAATAAGGCGGATTTATCCTGATTATTCGTTTAATCGTTTCGATAGGAGCGTGAATCGGCCGACTTGGTAGCTTCGTCTCCGACGCAAGGAGCTAATATTGTCTGCTCGTTACAAGGCGTGGTTTGTCGCAAGATGTGCTTCGTGGTGTAGGTGTTTCCTTCACGAAGTTGACCCTCGTAATGATGTGAGCCTGAGATTGAACTTGTTGGAACTCGTTATGATAGTGATTGTCCAGCTGGGACGGGAGGTTGCGTGGTTGCGTTCCTCAACCGACGGGTTACACCTCTTCGAACTGTATGATAGTGGGTGTCACTGGCGTGCACTTTTCACTTGACACATAATCCGACTCGAAGGATCAAAGACATTTACGGGGCTCGAGAGTCCTGATTGTTAAAATACTTAAATTTATCCTCCTTAGGTTTATTGAGGGTCTGAGTAAGAGTAGGTGGACATCTGACCAGACAACGAGGGATGGCGTACGGTTATGTCACTCGACGTAACAACCATCAACGTCTTTCTTCAAACATTCTTCAAATATTTCTTCAAACATTTACAAATCTCAAACAATTTTTAATTTCATGCTTTTATACAAACGTTGTTTCGATCTTAATACAATTATCATCCACGCGAATTCTAGAATAAAATTTAATGCGTAACAAGTTCAACGCGTTTGTTCTATGTTCGTTAGATTTTCTTAATCAAACCAATCAGGATACTCTTCATGAGTATATACTTTCTATCACGTCGGCAACTTCGGCAATTTCCACGAGCTTTCATAATTCACCGGCAAAATACTCACAATCAAATAATTGAATATCAACTATTGCGTTAGAGTTTGTGAATTTGATGGAAAGCGACTCATTAATTTCACATTCAACTGATGGGCGAGTTTCTGAACACGTGATATTGCTTCCTTTGCTCGTACATGTATATAAAATCCGTTAATAAAATATGTCGAAAAGCTAAGCGGTACATCGTACGTGTAGGATTTGAATCGAAACGCTGTTTTTCACGAAGCTTGGAATAATCATTCTCCATAGAATCCTGATTACTTTTTTAAAACCAGGAAATTCATCACTTAGTTTATCATACAACTGAAATACACCTCATAGTTAAGGGAGAACCGAGAAAACAAGAGAACTTCTTGATTTGACTTTTACTGCAATAAACAAATTTACATCGCTAATCATAAAAATCGTATTGTACAACTGTAACAACTACCTCCCGGTTGAGATGAAATGTTGAGAATTGGTTTACGATGTTTTCTTTCGGTAAGCTACCGAGTAATCCATTGTCTGGTAAAAATCGGTTCAAGGACGCTTTTGAGTTTCTTATCCTGCTACACTCTTTGCCAACGTTGTTATTATTACAATTATTAGAAAAATACATAAGGGTGTGAAAAGAAGGGTTTTCGTGTGTAGAAGGAAGCGATCGGTAATGATCGGAGAATTCATAACGATTTTACAGAAAAAAAGTAGAATGAAAAATGTGGATACTGAGAAAGGTAAAAATTCGTGGCTCTAAAAAAGTATGACTTTTCTATTAAATAAATAAGAAGAAAGAATTTATACCGATCCGCTACCATAAAAATGAAAGGAATATTCTATATTCTTTTGAAAGTTAACATATGGACAGATTTTAACTTTATAGATCTCACTTTGTAGGTCTTTTCAACACCTATATTGCATTCTAAACTTTTTCCTGTAAAATCATTAGGTTCCTTCCTACCTGGCTCGACCACAAAGTTTATCACAGAGTAAACGGGGATTGTCCGTTTTATATTTTGAAAATATTTTCTCTATTACTTTATCAGTGAAACTTTTATTCAGGACTCGGATACCTTCTACTTCCTTGTTCGTATTGATTCATGTTTCTCATGCGTTTATAAATGTAAGGTAAAACATTTTTATAACTTATATCTTTATTATTTAAAATCAGATAATCTTTTCTAAGTGGCAGCTGATATTGATTGCCTTCTGAATGATGCCCTTGATAACAAAAATATTTATTAATGTTCATAAGTAATAATAGTTAAATTATAATGAGCGCAAAGTCGTTTCGACGAACAAAATTGCTAAATTCAAAATGCAGAATTTATGCTTTAACCCGTTTTTACTGCTATAATAAATACATTTGGCTAAACAATCAATAAAAATATATATTAATTATAACGCGTCATTAAAATTTTTATTATCTTTAAATTTGTAATATCTTTCAGACTATCTTATATATATATGTTAATTGAAAAATATGTTAATCAATACCAATCTCGTAAACAATTATCATAAGAAATGATATACATATACCTGTAACGAATAAATGAAAATTGTTGACGTTAGGATAATAATAATAAATTTATAAGAAAATAACTAGAAAATAAAAGCAATAGAAAACAATTTATACTAAGTATAAATAAGTACCCCAAACTCACCTTTGGTAGTGTATGTATGTTTCCTCTGGCATTCAATCGTTTTTACCATCAGGAGCACATTGGCGGATAGTGCAATCGTTGATCATCAGAGGCTCTTATCCTCAGTGTCTATTTTTTGACTGTGTTTCGTCCATAAACGTTGATCTCTATATTTATCCTTGATTCTGTACTTTGTCGGTAAGGTTGGGATGAAGAAATGCATTGAGTGGTAATACAGACATAATACAGAATAGCTGGCACTCAATGCTTTTTTCTTCCCAAGATTTACGAGCCCTATAATAGATCATGGTTGTATATACAGGTCTGGAAATTAGAGTGGAAGGGATAAATCACTTATGAGTCAGAAAATGTTTCTAAAAGTAAGGTGCTTCAATCGATTTGTTAGTCTGTTGGGCTTCGTTGCGTGACGTGCCCTGTGTCTGCAATCTGCAACACGGCCGTGTCTGCAACTGAACTCTGTTCTTCTTTATAGGTCTATATTTACTGAAATAACATTCTTCTGTATGCTTACTTTGAATATGTTAAGAAATGTTATAAAAAGTAGTTTAGTTTACATAATTTACCTTCAGCGGTAAGAATGGCGAAAGTAGCGTTAAATGTAAAAGCTCAACAAATCGATCGAAAACTATCCGAAAATGAAGTCGCAAAAAATGAACATGGAGTGTTTTGTCTCTTGCTTTGTCAGAGACTTTTATAACATATCACTCATTCGCAGAATGAGAATTTTTTGTGCCTGTTTATATAATCGCGATCTTTCCCGCTAGAATGTTCAGGCCTGTGTATGCAACCGTACTCTAGAGTTTCCTTACCATTTTAGTGTCTTTCCCAATGTTACCGATTCAGTACAGAATAAGATTGTAGCGTTTATAGCGGTGAAAATTAAAATTAAATTTTAATATGAAATTACAAATAGAGCGTAGGACAGAACACCATAAATGAAGTTTGGAATTCTATACTTTGATTAGTATGTTAATATGTACATATATGTTCATTCTCAAACGATCTTCTAAACCAATGATTTTAAATAGAATACATCATGCCCTTAATTTTTTCGAGCTTTTATGTATTTTAACTGCCAAAACAATTTTTTGTTTCCGAAACTATTAATGGTTTTCCTTTCTGCTTACTCATAAAAATTTAAGTTTCTTAAATAATTATGTATTTAATACAAAAAGTTGCTCCCATTCTTCGATTTATGAATGATTACAAATTATGAATTACCAAATACAGTTTTATTTTGTAGATTGTCAAATGAAAATTTTTTTTAATCTGGAAATATACTATCATTTTGTTTGAAATTTATTTAGCAACATGTCAAGTTTCTACACACAAGTTGTTTGAAAATCGATGCCAAAAAGAACCAATAAACTTAAATCGTCTTAAATCGTTATGTAAATTGGATTCAATAAACTTTGTAAGTAATAATACCTAGCCACTTTAAATTTAAAAAAATAGATTACTTCTTCAGATTTTTAAACATAATATTTCGTATATTTGTATATTGAAAATTTATTGTTGAAATATTGCACATCCATTTTTAGCGTTTTCGAGAAAAACGGTTTAAAAAATTCAACGGTACTTTACAATTAAGTGAATACTTCTTGCACAGCATTTATCTTTATCAATGCTATTATAAAATTGGTTACAGTTCTAAATCAATACCATCGACATCTGTACGCAAATTATAATACTGTATCATTATAATTCATTAATAGCTACTTATAAACATTATACAATTAGCATGGTCACGAGATATCAGTCTTAGTAAGCGAGAGTAGTATGCGGATCGACGTGATTCATTTTCAACCGGTGTGCTCCCAAGTCCACTGGAGATTGTCCTGGTGACCAGCAGCCTCGAGGATGTCCCATCCTTTGGCCAGTCATCGATGTTGATCGGGTATCCTTAGCGTCCATAACCATTTTCATCCCGCTGCAACTACCTGGCCAACCGTAAACAAATTATTACGGGTAATTACCTACGTCAGCGAATACAAAGTCGTAATACTGAAGCTGTAGGGCCTGATATTTCTCATAGACAATTTGTTCGACCAGTTCGCTGTGGAGTGCCGAAGCGTGCAGACGTGTCTCTAGTGCCCAGTGTAGTCCGAAAACAACACGTGTCGCCCAACCGTCGAAAGTGAACACAGCCAAGTGTTTCCTACCCTTTAGAGAGAAGAAAATTCCACGCACCTAACCCCAATCCGAATACTAGCCTCATAGCCTCACGACTAGTTATTCATTTCGAATTAACTAGCTCGATGATGGCCCAGCAATCGCGACCAGGCTCTCCTGGGCAAACTCGCAACTACCCCGCGCTACCTCCTCCGTGGCAGAAGTGCAGCAGAACCCTCCGCACCAACGACGCTAATATTACAAAGAAACGGAAAATAGAAACATCAAAACCAAACACGATCGACACCCGGAGCGATCAATCAACGATACAAATAAACACCCACAACGGGTTCGCCGCACTGCAATCCACTAACGACGCCATGGAAATCGCAGACCCGCCGCCAAACCAACAATCACAGAGAATCCTCCCCCACCAATATTTGTGGACGACGTCATCGACATACAGACAATGACCAAGTCCTTAGAGAGAGATATCTTCAAGGAGGACTACAACTTAAAGATAAATAACAATAAAGTAAAAATACTGCCGAGGAACCCAGAAGCTTACAGAAAGCTCACCAAGATACTTAGGACCCTGAACGAC